CACTGGATGGTGCAGGCAAATTGGTTGAGTTACATCTTTCGTTACTTACTAACCATTCGACCTATTTAAATTTTATCATATTGTCAAAGCCGAAACAAAACAAGCCCAATATTTCTGGCTTCATGTAAGTCTAATGCCTCACAGGACTGCCTGGTATCGATACAAAATTATCCTGACCTTGACAGTTAAAAGCACTAGGGATGGGGGCTATATGAACTCATAGACGGCCTAGTATCAAGGTACGAGACACACGCATTAGGCAACTTCATCATTTTCCAGTGAGCTATTCGATTCTTGCATCTGCCAGTTCTTTTTTCAAATTTGTGGATTTGGTTTTGTTCAATTTTAAGTGTTAACTCTTTCTTTGTAGGTTTTGTTGTTCAAAATCTTGAGGCTTTTGCTTTGCTGTTCTTCGAATATCTGTTAGAATTGTTTATTTCTGCTTCTATTTGGTTAGGTTCGAAATATTTTTCTGCTCTTTTGATCTGTCCTTTGCAAGAAAGTGTTGCATGTTTCTAGCGGCAAAGGTTTTGATTTTGCATTTTTTTGGGTACTTTTTGTTAACGAGAGACATGGGGAGTTTTTTTGAGTGAAATTTTTAATTCCATTGTATTCTGGGTTGGAGAGTTTTGTAGCATGCTTATCCAAGCATGCAAGTTTTCTGACAGATCCAGAAGTACATCGAGTTGGAGGGTGGGATATTGCAAAGTAATATAATCAGGTTCAGGTTGCAGATGGTTAGAGAAAATAGTAGAGAAGGGATGGAAGAAAAATTTAGGATTAGGGGTACGTAAACAGAGGAAGGAAAGAAGAATGTGAGAGATGAATGGGCTGAGTTCTTTGGACTAATTTTTTTTTCAAATTGATTTGGAAATTTGTTTGGGTTTTGGGTTGTGATTTGGACTAATTTTCTTGGGGTCCATAACTTTGCATATTATTGAAGAAGCTATGTAAAGGAGAATGATTATATATATATATATATATATCTATCTCTGTGTGTGTGGTGTGTAAGAAAAAGGAGAGTGCTCAATCAGTTGATATAATGTCATTTACTTGCCTTTTTATTTATTATTTACCTTTTATTATTGTGAAGTAATTCGGTAAGTCAATTTTGTTTGGCATTATTATTTAATCAAGGACATCATTGTTTATACTCGATATCTGATTAAATAAACTGTGTAAAGAATAGTTGTTTTTAAGTTAGGAGCGGCGGGTTGCAAGGTAGATATAAAATGTTAAGGTGGGATAAAATTGAAGTGGCAAGGGTGGGAAAAAGATTTATAATTTGTGGTAGAAAAATAGAAGAAAGATAGGAGAGTGTAAGACAAGAATGGATTAACCTCATCTGGAGACCAAGGTTTCCCGAAACTACTGCTACATATTTAGGCCTGCATTGCATACTAGTTGATGAAAGGGTAAGAAATTATAGTTCCATTGTTTTAAATAAACCTGGCAACAAGGATGATGAACAACGGGGATAATATTGTTTTATTGTTATCATCTTTCTTTTTTGGTTCTTTTTAGTTGTCCCCATATTGAATAGTTTGTTGGTATTAAATTTTTCTGCATTCAAGAAACTAAATGCTACTTAAAAAAGTTTTAATTCTTTGAAATACTTTTCTCATTATTGAAAATACATATGTGCATGTATTGAAAAAATATTGACATTTCTCTATACAATGTATTTTTACAATCTAACTACACTCTTTGTTAAATTCGAAGATATCATGAGTCACATAACTGCTGTAAGACATTTGGTGCTGAAACAAGTTAATCAACGAATTGAACTGAAGTGTGACGTAGTGATTCGAAACATAAGGTTATTCTTCCTTCGTTTTACTTGACAGTTGTTTACCATGTTTCTTTTCTTTGCATTACAAAATATTTAAATTTTATCCAGCGAGTCCATTTTATCAAATCATTGTTTAGTGCTTGCATTGTTAATTATTACACTTGCTGATAGATTGCTTTATATAATTTTTACTCACTTGTTAAAAATTTGATTGGAATTTGCTTTTCTTGTAGAAAAGACGAGTTGATGGTTACACTATTGGCAGATGTTGCTCGAAATTTTGCTTCTTTGTCGATTGAAGCATTGTCTCTGCTGATTATCGTGACTTTTACACGTTTAAAGGTCAAGCTGTAACTATGTTTTAATTAAAAACCAATCTATTTACTATTAATTTTTTAAATTATATTTAAATGATTTAATATGCACTTTAGTAATATTTCCTCAACATGTTACGCAAGCAAATTCTTCTTTAGTTCAAATAGGTTGACAACTCTTTTCCTGCAAGTACACACAGCAATTAAACAACGGTGTTACACTATTTGGTGCCACTTTGAATATTTGTTTTCAAATTAGATAATAGTGTTTCATACAAATGCAAACATTTAGTTGAAATTGCTTGGCAACTCTTTTCCTGCATGTATACGCACGAATTAAATAATGGTTTTAAACTATTTGGTATCACCGACACTCTCAATATTTGTTTTAGAATTAGGTGAAGTTAAAATAATATTTGAATGAAATTGCTTCATAATTGTTTACTACATCTGTTCAAACAAAGGCAATGCCTTAAGAGTAGGAAGATCAAATTTTTCTTGACAAGACACTGTTTGCTTAATGAATAAGTGTGCAGAATATGTGTGTGGATTAGTAGAAAAGAGATTTTGGCATAGGTTATAATCTAATCTATTACTAAATTTTCTTGATTTTGGACTTGGTCAATAGATATCTGTATGTCCTATCTTGAATATATACTTGCATGCATAACGATGCAGCGCCACACATCATCATTCATCACATCCTTGTTTGTTTGTTTGCATTGTCCTGTCGTAAGTTATTGTTTACAGTCTTCTCTTCCTTTTCCGTGCTCTTGTTATTTTGTAATTAAAATCCATTTCGTTTTATAGTGTTTGGTTGAAATGGACGAAAGTGCTTCTGGGGTTGGAGAAGTCCCTTTAGGAAGCTTCTGTAGGAAGTCTTGCCTGTTGAAGTACAGGAAACACTTGGCTTTCTAACTCAACTCTCAAGTGTTTCCCTTCAGGTTGCTGACGTCACACATGCATTGCAATTAAAATCCATTTCGCTTTATAATATGCTTACTTTACTTTGATATAATTACTTGTTGAAATTAAAATCCATATCATGGAGGTGTTGCTAGTGGTGGTCTTCGTAATTGATACCATGCATTGCAAGAACAGCAGTTGCTGTTGGAGTGGATGGAATTTTCGTGGAGGTAAAGTAATTTGCTGTTGGAGTGGTGAATACATTGTCATTCTCATTTATCTGCAACTATGTGTATGAAAATTTGATGGTCTTTCTTAGCTGTCAATTGTATGGCCACATAAAGTTGCCCATACAAAAATTTCTCAAGGTATTATGCATTCATACATATTACACACACACACATACGTATCTACACACTTGCATACAGATTTGGCATGCTAAGATTTTCCTTTGGGTGCCTAGGTACGTGACGATCCTTCCAATGCGCCAGTTGACGGTCCAACTCAATGGGTGAGTCATGCTTTTTAGTTTTCGTGTGCATTTTAGATTAGATGGATCCCACCCACCCACACTTTCATTCCCCCAGTGTTGATAAACACTGAAATCCCTTGAAAGTCGTGCAATTTCCAATCCCTTTCTTCTATTCCCCTTACTTAGGATATTTGACCATAGCATTTCTCCACTCTGCATATTTGACTGCCTCACGGTTACAAATTCATTAATAGCAACATGCATAGCATACCTAGGTTTTGGTTTGTGTATTCCCGATTTGGAGCGTGTGGTCAGAGTGGGGTGGTTCAATAGAAGCCTCGTGAGGCAATGGCAAAGGTTCTTGTCTTACTGTAACTTGCTCATTCAACACGGGAGGAGGACCTAGAGGAGTAGGGTGTGAAGTCACATCTATGGTGTCATGTAGAATAGGTTTAGACGTAGGGTTAGATGGGGTGACTATTGGGCATGGGGTAGCAGATGGGGATGGGATTTGTTTTTTTTTTTGAAACCGTGCGGTGGTTGATGTTTGCGGGAAATAGATATCTCGGTCAAGGAGCATTAACTAGAGGAAAAGTGAATAAGAGATCTGGTCAAAGAGAACTACCTTGTGTTCGAACGCTTTCGGAGGAAGATATGAATCCTTGAAAGGGAAAACAGTCTTCATTGAATAAGACATGGCGTCTCGTGAACAAATTCATACATTTATAATCTTAATGGTTCAAAGAATAACCTAAAAACACACCTGATTTTGTTTTAAAGTTTATTATGTGTATACATACGGCACCAACCAGAAAAAGCATTGACAACCAAATATTTTAAGCATATCATATTTTGGCTGTGTATGAAAAAGCTTCTCATAAGGTGATTTGTGAGATACGACACCGGTTGGCAACCTATTGATTAGATAGGTTGATGTAGAGCACGCATCGAACCAGAACTTGTTAGGCATGTAGGATTGAGAAAGCATAATAATACTAGTTTCAACAATATGTCGGTGTTTTCGCGCTGCAAATCTATTTTGTTTTGAAATAGTTCTTAATTTCAGAATAAAAGAAAGAAAAAGAAAAGGAAATGATAAACACAAATCATTTTTAATTTCTTACATATTTTGTGATTATGTCTTATTTATTCGATTTAATGATTAAAATTAAAAAGTAATGTGTGAAAGTGTGAGAATCACTTTCCGAAAAAGCCATGTAGGACAAATGTTTTCAACCATCAGAGAAAAACGTGTGTAGAACCAGGTCGCAGAGGAAAAGTATCTAAATCCGTTTTCATAATTTTACACTATAAAAAAAGAAGAGGTTTCAGCTGAAGACACTTAATTCAAAGTTTCGGCTGCACACGGATTTCTGCTATCCATCAGAATCAGGTCCCAGCTGTGTCGACAATGACTTGCCAACTTGTAAAAGGGGTTGTGAGTCACCATCGGACGACTTTCGTATCAACTCCTCGACCTACTACATCAATAATCTGTTCATATAAATTCTGGAATTTAGTAGCTAAAAATCACCATCACCAAAAGCATAGCAAAGAATATTGTGCGTAATAATGGAGAGCCACTATCACCTCACTATTGCTCACTATTTGCTTGTTTTTCTTTTGGCGTCTTCTTACATGCAGACTAGTACAAAACACTGTTTCTGTTTGGCCGGTGGTGAACTTTCAAGCTGTGTGAAAACAAATTCATGCATCGACGAAGAAAGACGAGCGCTTCTCGTCTTTAAACGACATCTTGTTGATCCTTCTGGCAGGCTTTCCTCTTGGGTGGGTCACGATTGCTGTCGATGGGAAGGGATTTCATGCGACAACCTCACCGGTCATGTCGTGAAGATGGACCTCCGGCATCCATATCTACATTCCATTTCTGATGAAGAGTTGGACGTCTGGGCTTATGAAAAGGCTCAATTGGGAGGTAAGATAAATGCTTCTCTGTTGAGCTTGAAACATTTAAATTACCTTGATCTCAATCTTTTTTATAGCAATCAAATTCCTAAGTTCTTCGAGGAACTTAAAGTTTGCAATATCTCAATCTCTCCTCTGCGTCATTTGAAGGAGAGATTCCCCCTTCTCTTGGTAACCTGTCAACCCTCCATTTTCTTGACCTTGGGTGGAATTATGGCTTAACTTCCAAAAACTTGAATTGGCTGTCTCGCCTCTCTTCTCTAAAATACCTTGATCTCTGCGGCATGAATCTTGGCACCACAGGAGTCAATTGCGTGTATGCTGTTAATATGCTTCTTTCATTAGCAGAGTTACACTTATCTAATACAGGCTTAAAAGGCCAAATTCCTTGAGTCATTGGAAATTTGTGCAAGCTAAAGGTCTTAAGTCTTTCTTGGGACGAATTTTTTTTGGGGGGGGGGGGATTGAAGAGTTTTGGACAAGTTTCTCAAATTGTTCAAATATTGCATTAGAGTCACTAGATTTGTCTTCTTGTCAGCTGGGAAGCCAACTGCCGGTCTCCTTAGGAATGTTTAAAAGTTTGCAAATTCTGAAACTTATGAGAAATCATTTGTGGGGCTCAATTCCAGATTCCATTGGAAACTTGTCATCTTGAAAACATTGGACCGCTCTAAAAATAATATGAGTGGATCCATTCCACAAAGTCTGGGACAACTCTCTCATCTAGTTACCCTCGATCTGTCTTCTAATCCTTTGGAGGGCAATCTAACGGAAGCCCATTTCATAAATCGTACCCGGTTGCAACATCTTGGTGTAGGAGACACAGTCCGACCCATGTCCCTCATTTTTCACGTGGTGTATGATTGGGTTCCTCCATTTAAGCTACACACAATTAATATCATAAATTGTCGGATAGGTCAATTGGGAGAGGAACGTGGCATAGCGATGGATTTTCCATATAAATGGACAACTCATTGAGCGTTTGAAGTTGGTTTCTACCAAGAATTCTTTCAGACAAGTTGTTGTAAGAAAAGTTCAAGTGGTTTAAAAAAGTCAAAGATGACAAGCTTTGAGGAATCTGTCCTGAAAGGTGGTTGTATGAGAGATCAAGTGTTTCAAGCAAATGCAAGTTTTCGATATTGGAAGGGATCTTTTCGGTCAATTGATTCCTGGACAAGTTCAAGGTACCCAATTGAATGAGGGTACTTATTTCTTCAGGAATTTCACCTTTTAAATTATTTGATGAAAGATCAATGCTCCTTACAAGATCTCGAGTCGTGTTGTACACAAGTTTCATTCTTTTTAGTGTCGTAAGGATTGCTCATGAAAAAATGTAATATCTTTTGAACCATTGACCATCGGAGACAAATTACCCAAACACTTGGGAATAGTACCTGAAATGTTGTTGTTACTAAGGTCGATGATACCAAGCTGTCGAAGATTGCACAGTTGCTGGGGTATATGTCCACTAAAATGGTTGGAACGTAATCGTAGCATATACAACTTGGATACATTTAATCCTCCTATCCACTGTGGTATTTTGCCAAATAACTTGTTGTTTCCAAGATCGATACTTGTCAATTGGGAACATTTTTGCAGGGAATTAGAAATTTTCCCGTCAAAATTGTTGTTGAGTTTTAATACTACCAGTGAACTTAATACCCCCAATGATGTGGGAATATTACCCGAGAGATTGTTTTGACTCACATCTAGAAACATCATACTGCTTCCCACACTCCCTGCATGACGAAATTCTCCATGAAATTGATTGCTCCTTAGAGACAAGACTCGCAACTGTTTCATGTTGTATACAAAGGGAGGAATAATTCTATTCAAATGATTCTCAGAAAGAGACAAAAATTCCAAATTGTGCATCATCTGGTCAATATTAGAGTGAATTGGTCCGGAAAATGAATTGCTTCCAAGAAAAAAGGAAGAGACCTTAGTGGCCTATCAAAGTGGGAGTGGGCCTTCCAACTGATTACATCTCAAATCAATATACTTCAATTTCGGAGATTTCAAATGGGATGGAAGGTTTCCACGAAGTTGGTTATAAGATAATTCTAGTATGATGAGTAGGGAAGATATCCTCAATAGCCATACCTTTTGTATGAAATCTGCGATTCCATTACCAGTAAGACTGATGTACCTCAGTTCAGTTTGAGATTGAAGCCATACCCTAAAATCATGACCTATCCAACAATTTATGATACTAATTGTGTGTAGCTTGAATGGAGGAACCCAATCATAAATCTTACCTGGTTGCCCATTTCATAAATCTTACCCGGATGCAACTCATACTAAAGGAATGACTATTAAGGATATCTTCCCAACTCATCAAACTAGAGTTGTCTTACAACCAACTACGTGGAAACCTTCAATCCCATTTAAATCTCCGAAATTGAAGTATATTGATTTGAGTTGTAATCAGTTAGAGGGCCCACTCCCACTTTGGTGGGTCACTAAGGTCTCTTCCTTTCTTCTTCGAAGCATTCATTTTCCGGGCCAATTCACTCCAATATTGACCAGATGATGTCCAATTTGGAATTTTGTCTCTTTCTGAGAATTATTTAAATGAAATTATTGCTCCTCTGTATACCACATGAAGCAGTTGCGAGTCTTGTCTCTAAGGAGCAATCAATTTCATGGAGAATTTTGTCATGCAGGGAGTGTGGGGAGCAGTATGATGTTTCTAGATATGAGTCAAAACAATCTCTCGGGTAATATTCCCACATCCTTGGGGTATTAAGTTCACTGGTAGTATTAAATCTCAATAACAACAATTTTGACGTGAAAATTCCTAATTCCCTGCAAAATTGTTCCCAATTGATGAGTATCGATCTTGGAGACAACAAGTTATTTGGCAAAATACCACAGTGGATAGGAGGATTAAATGTATCCAAGTTGTTTATGCTACGATTATGGTCCAACCATTTTAGTGGACATATACCCCGGCAACTGTGCAATCTTCGACAACTTGGTATCCTCGACTTTAGTAACAACAACATTTCAGGTAATATTCCCGAGTGTTTGAGTACTCTGTCTCCGATGGTCAACGGCTCAAAAAATACTTCATTTTTTCTTGAGCAAACCGTGCTGACACTAAAAGGAATGGAACTTGTGTACAACATGACTCGAGATCTTGGAAGGAGCATTGATCTTTCATCAAATAATTTACAAGGTGAAATCCCTGAAGAAATAAGTATCCTCATTCAATTGGGTACCTTGAACTTGTCTAGGAATCAATTGACCTGAAAGATCCCTTAAAAGATCGGAAACTTGCATTTGCTCGAAACACTTGATCTCTCACACAACCACATTTCAGGACAGATTCCTCAAAACTTGTCATCTTTGACTTTTTTAAACCACTTGAACTTTTCTTACAACAGCTTGTCTGGAAGAATTCCTGAGGGAAACCAGCTTCAAACGCTCAATGAGTAGTCCATTTATATGAAAAATCCATCGCTAGGCGGCGTTCCTCTCTCAACTAAGTGCCCTGGATATGACACTTTCCCATCTAAGGATACAAAAGACATGAATGAAGGTGGAAATGATGAGTTGTGGTTCTATGTCAGCATGGTACTTGGCTTTATTGTAGGCTTTTGGGGGGTTTGCTGCACGTTGATCTTCAAGACATCATGGAGGTATGCATATTTTCAATTGTTGAACAATATCAAAGACAAGGTAGCATTAGCAATTTCATTGAAAGTGGCTCGTTTCTGAAGAATGTTTTCTGATGTTTGATAGCACTATGTATATTTGTGGTTTCCTTTGTATTTGGTAACTTATGTATTGAATAAAAAAAACCCTACCTTTCAATAAATGTTCCCACAAACAATTATGTATCAACTTGGAAGTAATTAAAATTTCTAGTTTGTACTTTTCAATCGCATAATAATTAGTAAAGGGGCAGTAAGGTAGAATCGTGTTTATTTCATAAAACGAAAATAAAGATCGCCGATTTAACAAGACGACTCAGACCTCTGCAACGAAAATCAACTAATGGAGGTGTGCATATATTCATTTTTCGATTATCGAATGTTATGGTTTTAATCAATGTCTAAGTTGTTTTAGGACTAAAATCAACTAAGCCTTCCTTCCAGAATTCAACTCTTGGGATTTTTATTTGTATGCAAGCTGTGCTAACAATTCAAATAGAATGGGAGCATTGTACAATGATGTAGCTAAAGTAGAGGCCAAAATGTATTAGATATTAGCTGTATCCGCCCGCTTCCTGCAAGTTCTTGGCAATTACCTAGATTGTTGGGGGGAATTATATCTATGTGCTGCGTTTAGTTTCAGTAGTGATGCAACAGTTAACAAAGTATTGGCTATGGAGTATACAGCTTCTTTAAAGGTAACTAACGACCTCCTTATTCCGCTGCTTGTTTTGAGGTGGATTAGGATGGAGTGTTATTTCTTGTGATAAGGAGTTTTTGTTTTAATTATATATTTACTGCTATCTATAAATTGTTTTGTTATCAAGGCTGGTTTGAAAAGTATGGAGAAGCAAAAAGGCATGCTTGGTAGTTCTGCAGGTAAGGTTCAACCAGACTGTACTTGTTATGCAAAGTTGAGTTACACATTTTGAATCTGTTCCGTTGTCAAATTTTTGTTGTCCTTATCTTAGCAAATGCAAATGTTGGAAGAGGCACATTGGCCGTCAGCAATGTCAAAAGCAACTCTTCTAGGATTTTTGGGGGGAGATGCCTCTAAAAGAAAGTTGTTACCTTTTCATTTGCTCATATATTCCTTCATTTTTGGATTTTGATCTAAGAAGTTCTAAATTTGGGCCATCTTCAATGCAGGAGCGGTAAAAGTGAGAGGATTAAATCTTTGCAGCGGTATGCATTTTGATATTATGATACCTATACGTGCTTGTGAATTCAATATTCTTTTGATATTTTGATATAACTGTAGATGTTAGCAAAGATGTGAGTAGGTTCGAGATCCTTTGCTTTTGCTTTTGCTTTAATGTAGTATTGTATTCTTTTGTATTTTTGTAGGGTTTCAGTGGGTACAGGCGTTAAGACTGAATTTTATCATCAAGGATATCCTCCCTGGTCAGAATGTTAAATCCTAGCATACATTTTCCTTGTAACTCTCTTATTTACATGATTGCAGAGTGAGTTGTTCTACTGACTTAAGTAGATATCTCTCTGTAATCTGAAAATAAACAAAAGGGCCCTCATATGAGTGGTTCAAAGATCTCATAGTTACTTACAGCCATTGAGCAGGTTACTTCAAGTTAGTTTTCATATATAGTTCTACCCCCAAACTGGACAAAAGTTGCAAAACTTAAAAGTTTTCTTCCTGTCCATGTTTTGCTTTTTGAAGGTCAACTAAGTTTTTGTTTTCCACTGTTCCATTGTATGTTTGACAACGCAAAGACAGGGTTTTGTCTTTCTTGACAAGCTTAGCGAGTATCAACGCCAATCATTTCATATATTGTTGTTCTTCCAATTGTATTTTTTGTGTTCACTTCAATCAGGGAAAAGGGCGGGAAAGCTTTAATACTTCAGAAATGCTGGTATAGTTTCCTGGATTCAATTGTAACATTTGAATTTTTTTTTATTACGGATAAACTGTAGCTATTAAAGAGTTGAACCTTCAGAGAATCAAAGGACCAAGGCTATGGGTCTAAACCGTGAATCTATTGTTACAGATGGCAGGTCTGAGCCACCTTTGTTTTCCCTCTTTATAAGAAATTAGAAATTGTGCCACAATTTGTTTGTTGTGCCGTTGAAATATTCTAATCTGGCTCATATGCTTATGAAACTAAACATGTAAAGACCCTTGATTAAACTTATAACTTTTTTTTCAGGACTTCAAATACTTCACTTAAGCTGATAAGGTATCTGAACTGCAGACATGTTTGTTTATTTACTGTGGATAAGATGTGTATCTGTTATTGATGTATTTTCTATTTCCTGTCTCCATTTTAAAGGAAATCATTGCTGGTGCTGAAGGTCAACCCAGAGGAAGCAAGTATTCCGAAGGTTGATGTCATGCATTATGGAATACAATTAAGGCTACGGTTGGCAAGAAAGTAGTACCTAGAGTAAACGATACCACGAGGAGCCATCTGTTGAGGAATCGAGTGATTGATATCTTTGTGATTATGTGAGTGACAGTGATCCATAGTACTAGTTTTCTATTCTGCTTAAAGCCAGTTAAAAGGTTTTGCTGATACTGGTGCATATTCCTTTAAACCTCATTTTGCTTCTGAATGAATGGAATGGAAGCATCTTTCTTGCATTTTATGGATAGGATTGTTTGTTCTGACTTCAGGCATGACTAATATGTCAATTTCAGAACTCAAAGCAAATAATAGCAGATGCACAAGTAAAACTGTAAGGGAGTACAACAAAGAACTTGTATTCTGCAGTTCACCCCCAATTTTATGAATCTTGTGGCTCCTCCCAGTTATTTTTACATCTTTCTAATTTTGTCCTGGAAAAGGAAAATTTATCATTTTCTTGTCCCCTGGTATCTAAGAATTGATATTATAATGCTACATGCGAATACAATTTTTGGTCTTGAAAGTTACAGCATATAGATTTTGCATTGCTGCATTGGAGAGTTTGGTTTTAGGTTTAGTCACATTGTTTTTTACTCTTGTTGGGTTTCTGTATTCATTTTATTCTTGTTTACTACTGCAGTTTGAATTACTACATTCATTAACTTTCTAATTCATTGAATGTCTCTTATGTTGAGTGATCATTTAAGCTTTCATGTCTTAATTAAACACGGTTGAGATTTCTATCTGTTAATAGTTTGCATGTGATTTGAGATTGCAGGGGTCAGCGTAATTCAAATGTCCGTTTATTGACAAGAAATTCTGTCAGGGTAAGTCTAATCAGAAATAGAACTCATGTCCCTCCTCCTCCTCAAATGAGAAAAAAGAATTAATGTCTCGTTTTGTTTGACCAGTTCTGAAATGTAGTTGCTCAAGTTTATCTACTTCAGACAGTAAAACAATTTCATTTGTGTCGCCGTATTTTACTTTCAGTACTTCAACAATCTGTCAGTTTTTTTAAAGTCATTTGGTCCTGAAATTTGTTGACTTTTGTTATTGTGTAACATGGCATCTATTTTGGCATCAACTTGAAGCTTTACGGCAGTGCATTCAATTTAGTACTTCGCCTGAGTGATTGCTTTACATTACTATGAGATTACTGCATCATCCTGACTTTATTTCTTGGCATGTTAGATCTATATGAAATAGATGTACGTTCTATTTATCTTCCCTTTAATTTTTTTACGATCCAGCCAACTGTGTCCACACTAAAGGCTCGTGAGTCGCAAAGGACTTTGAAATCCAAGGGTGCATCAGGTCCAAATAAATTAGTTTCTGCTACTGCAACTTCATCCAAAACTGACAAAGTGGCCACTTCTTCTCTTCCTGAGAACGTTAAGCATGAAGCCACTCAGGGAGAGCTCCCATCTGAAGCCAACTGCAGCCAGAGTGCTTCAACTATCATTTCCAGGAGAAAATCAAATAGGAGGAGATCTTACACATCTCTATTGATGACTGGATCAAGGGTTGGGACTTACCGTGTTCTATTGATTCCTTTATTCCTTACTCGTGTACTACATTCACACTTGGCCTTATTCGCAGTTACTGGAGGACCGTGTTGAAGCTTTGAAGGAGGAAGAGCTGCCAAGTATTGATGACGATTGCAAGCAACTGGAAGTTTCCGATTATGTTGATGAGATCTACCAGTATTACTGGGTTTCTGAGGTAATGTTTATGATGTCTCTATACCTCTGTTTTCATCTTAGTGTGGTAAGATAGTAGGTTTAGTGTAGTTCTAATTCTGACTTGTTGGCTTTGTTAAAATTGTCTTTAACTGCAGTCACAGAATCCACCTGCAGAAAATTTCATGTCGATTCAGGCAGGCATTACTCATCATATGCGAGGCATATTGGTCAACTGGTTAATTGAAGTACCGATTTAACCTTTTGATGAACTATGATGTTTTTGTATTCCTTTTTGTCATGCTTTGTTCAATTTTACATTTCATGATGTTTAATAGCTGGCCGTCCCCTTGATTTGTTCATCCGGAACGGGTACACTACAAATTCGAGTTAGTGCAAGAAACTCTTTTCTCATGGTGACATTGCTCGATCAGTATCTTTCCCAAGTTACAATTAAGAAGGATGACATGCAGTTGGTATCACTGCACTCCTGCTGGCGTCAAAATATGAGGACTTTTGGCATCCAAGGGTTAATATCAATATCTCAACTCATGCATTTTTCGTGATTTTCTTTCTAATTATCTACAAGAAGAAAAATTACAGGTCAAACATTTAATTAGCATCTTAGTTGAGACATACACCGGAGTACAGGTGCTTGGAATGATATTTTGTTAGACTCTGGAAATGTCCTGGTGCATGTATGAATAATGCTGCATTCTATAGTTCCCTTTTCGCTTGTCCTAAAATAAACACCGTCTTTGCTTTTCAGGAGAAAACCTTTCTGAAAAAGCTGAAGTTTCGTCTTAATGCACCTACTCCATATGTCTCCATGTTAAGATTTCTCAAGGCTGCTCGGTCAGAAACAAAGGTATTCAGTAGTTTCTAAAGCTAACAGACATAAATTTTGATTAATGATGAACACCATTACTAAGAAAGAAAGAGATTGACATGCCAGAGTAACAGCAAAGTTGCTAACAGTCTGTTACTTTGCAGACTGTTTTGCAGCTTGAACACTTGGTTCTACCTTATCGAGTTGTGCTTGGTTGAATAGGAAGCGTTAAGGTTCAAGCCCTCTTTTCTGTGCGCAGCAGCCCTATCTGTCGCAAGGTGCACCCTGCAGATTACTCCGGCTTGGACCCCGCTCGTTACGAAGTATCCCAAATCAGGTACTGCTTTAAAGACAAGTAAATAACTTTGTTTCCTTATCTAGTGCTTGCTTCAGATTAAATTCTAATGATCGATGTTTGATCGTTGCATAGACTGCAGAGATGCTCTTAAGATTTCACAAAGCTGCAAGAGTGGGAAGCTTGAAGGTCACATACGAAAAGTACTCTAGCCCTGATCTCAGTGGTGTTGCAGCGATAAAACCATTGAAGACGCTTCCACTCCGATTCATCTTAGAGGGGTGAAGATAAGAATGTTAACAATTCAAGAGCTAAAGACTTCAGCATCATCTGGTAGACTTGTTTTCCCCTTCAGTTGTTGAACCCTGTGTAACACGATGAAGGGCATCCATCAAGCTTGTAGTAAAGAACCATATTTCGTAGCGCTTCTACTGATGGCGTCTGTTTACTCTTGGGTTTTCAGGATTACAAAATTCTTTTGTTCATTTGGTACCGAAGTTCACATCGGTATGTTGTGTTGCACGCATATATGTTATGATCGCATTGAAGTGTGACATCATGTTGTTGCTAAGAAATTATGACGTGGGAAGTGAACGCATCGTTGTTGTAACAGCTATTGCTGTGTGAATCTAGCTTCTTGTTAATGGTACATAATGCATTGATCAATCATTTTCTCCCTTTATCTTTCGATAGATTTAAATTTGCACTTAATTTACGTTACACGGTCTAATGACTCGTACTTGTTTACGAAAGCAAACAATTTGACGATGAGCCTCAAATCAAGTTGCATGTGCAATTGAGCCAACTCATCCTGCAGATATGGGTGCACTAAGGGTTTGCGGCTGTTGAACCGGGCTGATCCGTTTGTTGGGGTAACAGTTTGTGATAGGGGTGAAAATGTTGTGTCTGCTGCAGGAGAGGTACATCTTGAAAGATGCATAAAAGATTTGAAGGAGAGATTTGCAATGGTAAGCCTGGAAGTGTCTCCACCTCTCGTGTCTTATAAAGAGACCATTGAGGGTAATGTAGGTGATGAACGTGAGAATTTGAAATTCTTTCGTTCAAGCTCAGATTATGTTGAGAAAAGGACAGCAAATGGTAGGTGTACGATAAGGGTGCAAGTCATAAAGCTCCCTCCTTTAGTTAAAGTGCTTGAAGATAGTTCTGATTTAGTTGGAGATATTCTTGGAGGTAGGGCTTCAAAGGAAGCCTCGGCTTGTGGAAGCCATGTACTTCTGTGAGTTGAACACGACAACTGAGCATTTGGGTTCTATGTACGCTGTGCTTGGGAGAAGGCGGGCTAGAGTTTTGAAGGAGGAAATGCAGGAAGGCTACCCATTGTTTTTTTGCGGATGAGCTTAGAAGATGGACTGCTGGTGCTGCAAGTGCTCTTCTTGTGCTTAGTCACTGGGAAGCACTTCCAGAGGATCCCTTCTTTGTACCGAAAACAGAAGAAGAACTTGAGGAGTTTGGTGACGGTTCTAGTGTGCTTCCCAATACAAGTCTAGCGCCTTGTTGATATACTTTAGCATTAGGGTTAGGGCCACTTTAGGTGAATCATTTACTTCTGTGCAAGTGTAGAGGTTGTTGATATAGTTGTAATTAACTTACTATAGCTTTAATATCTTCTGGCAAATTGGCAATGCTGCTATAGATTGAGACTAAGTTGGTTGCGACAGTCGCTCGTAATTGCAGTTTTCGCACGTTGCTGTGGCTGGATAACAATTTTGATGGCTCGATAGAAATTGTAATTTTGAATGGAAAGATTTAGCTTGCTGTTGGATGATGTTAATTTGAAAGAAAGGATTCGATGTATTCTTTTAATTTGATGTCGAATTGGCGTTAAAGAGGTTTATCGTGTTTCTTTTTTAACAAGTTTACATGAATATGTTTATGACCTGCTGTGTCTGAGGTGACCGCACAATAGATCAAGTGTAGTTATCTTGGAATTCAAGCATGTGACTTTCTTTACATTTATGGAGGGGTATCATCGTAATACTAGAGGCATAATACTTTTTTTACTAATTGCAACTAATTGCTAGGTCATAAATTATTTTCGCACACAAGCACCCTTCATATTGTTTATGTTCCTTGATTTTTCTCTACTTTATTCGGTCCAAAATTCATTAATAAACTAGTGTGAATGGAGAAAAAAAAAGTGTGGGAAATCATCTTTCAGAATTATTTCCTAATTTGGTTTGTGGAAAAAAGAAAAAGAAAAAGAAAATGATAAAGACACGTTTTTTAACCTCTCACACATCTGTTGGTTCTGTTTGATTTATTCAATTCTATGGTTAAAAATAAAGAGGAGTGAGTCGCAAACTAAAGATAGTGTGATATATTTTTTGCTCCCTGCTAGAGGAGACTAACATTTTTATTTGTACAAAAAGAGAAATTGGGCAGAAGCCACACAATAGATCAAGTGTAGTTATCTTGGAATTCAAACATGTGACTTTCTTTACAAGTATGGAGGGGTATCATTGTAATACTAGAGGCATAATACTTTTTTTAACTAATTGTAACTACCTGTTAGGTCATAAATGATTTTCGCACACAAGCACACTTCATATGTTTTGTTTTGTTTGTTTGTTTGTTTGTTTTGTTCTTGTCTGGATTTTGTTGTCATCAATTATGATATATTTTCTGCTCTCTAACAGACGCTGGAGGAGACTAACTATTCACAATCTCCGCTGCATAAGGATTTTCCACCAAAGACTAATTGGAGTGTCAAGACTAACTATTCAGAGTCTCCATCATCCATTCGTTATCAATTGTGATATATTTTCTGCTCCCTAACAGATATTGGAGAGACCAACTGTTCAGAGTCTTGGCAGTTAGTGGTCTGCTGATTTAGACTCATTAGTTCAACCTCTGTTGGATAACCAAAACCAGGTGTACAAACAAGACTCGAGACTTGATTAAGTAGGTGCTTAAATCAGATGAATTTATTAATTAAGCACATATTTTTTTTCGTATGCATGCATGTGTAGTTTGTGTAAGAAGAGGTTGTAGTTGCCCTAGAAGCGAATCAATAAAAGAGTGCAAGACTTGAGAAAGAAATTTGTGACACAGAGAGCCTCTCCAGGCTACAAGCCGAACTACACTCCCACAGGCCACATCCAATGCATCAAACAGATGAGCTTTTGGGTTTACCATCAAATAATCAACCTATTCATCAGTAAATTAACGTTTAAGTTTGTTTTTAATTTTGTTCACAAATGAAATCAACCAACTTTTCATGCCCTTTTGATAGGAAATTATACAGCAATGTTGACCACATTTTGTGTATGTTTTTTTTCATTCTTTTGAGATGTAATAGTCGTTTATATCATAGATGATGAGAATTAAAGAAATTAAATGCTGCTTTGGATGAAAAGTTCATGTTGATGATAGGTACTATTGCTGATATCAACTGTTCCTCATTTGCTTTAATGCTGCAGTATATATATATAATACCCTGCAAATTTTTGATTATGATGGGAATACGAGTGGTATACCACATGTTTTTATGTAAATGGTGAAAAATTTTAATTTTTAAGTTATTAACTTTTTAACAAACGTATCCCACCATTTATATTGACATGTGATGTACTACCTCGTGTGCCGATCACACAAAAATCTTTCCTCCACCACGAGCCCAAAAAGGTTGGAAGATAGATTTCAAGGGCAAAGCCCCCGTAAAGCCCAACCCAACCGCAAAGCCCGTAACTTACCTCCCACAGGATGGAGCGTACCGTCTATAACGTTTTCCGGACAAGGGAGTCGTTGATGCGTCCTTGCAGGGACTTCAAAATCCCCACAGATTGGATGCTTGACAACGGAATTTTAAGCAAGGTAGACTTTGATATTCTCTTTGAACGAACAGTGGACGCCTTTGTGCATCACATATCTAATTTGATGCCAATCTTGCAGATAAAGTTTGGTTCAGTCAAGTTGGCAAAAATGTACATGCCGAGGGTGGCTATGGAACTTCAGTCCAAGGCAGCAGCAGAGAAGGATCCTGCAATGGATTACATGCTGCTTCAGGGAGTGAGATTCGCTTTCAGAGTTCATCAGGTTGGTAGGACAAAAAGGAAGTGCACAAGACTGAGATATATTTCTTACTTGATATGCAGTTTGCAGGGGGATTCGACGCAGACACAATGCACGCATTCGAGGAACTTCGCTACCTTGCTCATCTTCTCAACAAAAAGTAAAGAGGCAAAGGTGGAATGCTTTATGGAACATTTTTGGCTTACCATCTCAGTGAGCTTCATACGGGAAAATGTATACGTTCTGTAGTAAGCATTCTGGGGAAGACAGCATAGTTCGGCTGTAGTTTGTTTGTGTGACAAACAAACGTATACATCATGTTCTTGTAAGTTGTACGACAAGAATTATACAAGTTCTTCAGAGTTTCATACTCATCTCTCAACAAACACTTACTTTTCGAAGTACTTATCTTCCTCATGTGTTGGGAGTCTTTCATATCGAGATTGTGGAGAAGTTGGCTCAAGTGTGATAGCAGTGGATGAGACAAACGGCTAAATAGTGGTTGTATTGCAGCGGCCTCGGGTGATAGAGAGATATGGAATCTGCTGGATATCATTGGTGTGGTGACAGTGACAATGAGCTGAGATCATCGGTGAACCCAAGCAGTAGAAATAGGGATGACAAAGAAGGGAGAAGCACAAGGTCTCATATCCATTGGAATGAAAGACAATAAAAATAGATGAAATCAATTGCAATTGCACCCTTCAAATCGTGCAAACATTTCATCAATGACAACAATCGGAGCTCAAACATTTCAAATCGCGCAAACATTTCATCAATGAAATCAATTGCATTACGAATCCAGTAAAAAGTAAACTAATTTGCTTCACCAATAATCGGAGCTCATTTTCATTATAACTCTCATGATTCACAATTGGTTTTGCAGTATATTGTGACAAATTTGTACATTCTCACAAGAAAACAGTTCCTGCAACTGTAACGTCTCAAGTAAATCATCATTTGAAGGCCTAGCCGCCATCCTATGGATCCAAGTCCCTAACCGTGATGTCTGACATTCTCCACATTGTAGGTAGTTGTCAAATTTGAACCAAAAACAAACTGTCCACTGCAGAAGTGAACACGTCAAAGTTAATCATCTGTGATAACACCTCCAAATCCATACTATTTTCTCACAGCACAAAATGACTTCAAAAGCAACAACAACAACAACAACAAAGCCTTTTCCCACTAAGTGGGGTCGGCTAATGACTTCAAAAGCAAAACAAGAAAAATCAACTTTCCTAATCAGACTCTTTTGGCAACAAAAGAATCACTGTTTGACCAGTACACATTGCTAACATTAGGACATAGAACAATCAATGATTCTTCAAACATTTCTAGAAACTCTGGAGAGCAGATATCTATCACCGTATATAAGAATGAGTACAAGTAAACAGCTTTCCCCTGAACCTGCACAGTATTTTCTCCGTTTTGAAAAATAAAAGCAATACCTAAAGGTTAGCTGGATGACAAATACTAAATGGTTGAGGTACATCTTTTGTTACTTACTAACCGTTCGACCTATTTAACTCCTATACCGCTTGTTCATTTTCTGCGGTACTTATCCATCATCTACTGTCAAAGGCCGAAACAAAGAAGACTTAAAATTTCTGGCTTCATATAAGTCTAATGCTTCACGGGACTGCCTGGTATCAATACAAAATTATCCTGACATGAATGTTAAAGCACTAGGGATGGGGGCTATATGAACTCATAGACGGCCTAGTGTCAAGGTTAATGCAGTCGCATCACACTAGACACACGCATTAGGCTTAGAAGTCTAATGCCTCAAAGAACTGCCTGGTATCGGAACAAAATTATCCCGACCTTGACAGTTCACTCACTCAGTCCGTCACTGATACAAATCAGTAGTATCAAGGTTAATGCATCATACTAGACACACGCATTAGGCTTAGAAGTCTAATTCCTCAAAGGACTACCTGATATCGAAACAAAATTATCCCATGGCATGGAAAACCTATCGAATTAGATCAAAAAGAATACAGACATGAGATTCTTAGCAGCTTAAGGGCTCTCCAGCAACAATTACCTTACCAGACTGAAAAACCAGATTTTGGGCAAATATTAACTATTTGATAGAGAAAACAAAAAATACTGCAGTGCAGAATCAAGCAGTGAATTGAGAATCACCATTGCAGTGGCTCCTGTGCCAGAAATCTCAGCTCCGCCGCTGAATTCTCAAACTGAGCAGCCGCAGACGTAGCAAAAGATTTGACAAAAGGCAAGAACTGCTACCGCCATGTACGCAGCACACCAAATTCCTGCCGCCACCAACAATTTCAGGACATCGGAGTAGGCCATAAAAATCACCAATGGCACCTAAAAACACAAAAAATCACATAAAGTTAACACAAATAATACATCAAAAAACAAGACTTTAACGAAATCAGAGGCGGATCGATCATAAATTCATACATCAAATTGCGTAGAATCGATTGGCGCTTCTTGTTGGGATTGTATGGGATGCTTGTATCTAGAAAAATAGGAATCGTTGAAGAATCAACAGATAAGGGGATCGTTAGAGTTGGTACTGGAGAGACTGAGAGAGGTTTCAAGGGTTTTTACTCGTGGCAATTGTGAAAGGCAATATGGTTGAGAAATGAGCGGGCTTTGGATTCGGAGCCTCCGGGATTCCGCAATTTTTTATTTTTTTTTTAACAAACTGGAGTATGAGCTAGTAATAGTAATAATGTATTTTAAATTTATTTACGAGAATCAAACAAGACCTCGTACTTATGAATAAAAATAAATATTACTATATTGTAATACTAAATTGCGAGATTCGCAATGTTAAAAACGTGGCTTTCAACTGTGAGCCCATATACTTGGAGCCTAGTTTTGAAACCCTGCATTTTTTAATATTGGTCCAATTTTAATTTAGTTTTTTTTTTTCAAATTTATTGTTATTTTTTCACTTGGCTATTTTCATGAGAGAGAGGTTCCTCTCCGGATTCATTTTGTAGATATCTTAAGGATCTTCATATTTTAATCATTTATCGTACATCGTATGATTAATTTTTGTCATGTACTATTTGTGTTTAATTTTAAATAAAAAAATGAAATGATTTTTGACTGCATGATACACGATGAATGACTAAGATATAAGGATCCATAGGATTTCCACAATTTGAATCCGAATGGGATCCAAATCTATTTTCATGTACTTAGGCCTTTCACGAAAATTTGAGTTTGATTCTAATTCTATAGGAACCAAAATTATATACTAAGTAGAAAAATTTAAGTTCTATGGGTGTGATTCTAATTTTGAGTTTAATATACTAAACTCATTGAGCTTAATCCATGTACAATAAATGATCAATTTTTTTAGTGAGACAAAAGAGAATAACGTATAGCAGAGTATAAAATAAATGGGTCCCATAATTAGTAGATTCCAGGCCGAAGCCACCCACGTCGCTGCATTGCTGTTGCCTGCCTCCACCACGAGCCCACAAAGGTTGAATGATAGTTTTCAGCAAAGCCCCCGTAAAGTCCAACCCAACGAGAGAAAACTACGGCATAAGATCTACACACTAACTACTGCGAGCACCCGGAAAAGCTGCCATCGGAAACGCTTGATGTCCAACCCCCTTCATAGTTTAGAAGCAACAACATTGGTCCATTTTCGTTACGAACAAAAATGGCCAGACTCAACCAAACTAAAGAGGAGATTAGACATCATAAACTGCAGAAAAAGAGGGAAGAGGGAGGGAAGAGGGAGGGAAGACGAGGCGCGAGGATGGAGGGCTACGGGAAATGTGAGAAAGGAGTGCAGAAACAGAGGGGATAAAGGGGTAGGAGGAGAACATAAAGGAGAAAGACGGCAGGCTAGGAGGGAGGGAGAAGGGCTGCCATCATCCCTAAGCCGAAGCAAGGGGCCGACGACTGTGAAAGTCTTAGATATAGGTTTTTTACGAAGGAGGCAGAGAGTTGGGTAGAGACAAAACTTACCACTAGTTTTTTTACGTGTGAATAATAATTTCGTACCGTATATAGTTAGGTTACAATGGAGTCTTATTGATCTCCTCATAGTTGTATTGTGAGCGTCAGATGTTGAGAGTATGAGATGCGTGAATACCTGAAAATGTAAAATACTGTTATTGGTGAAATGAGTTTTTTTTTTTTTTTGTTAATGATAACCTTTCCTTTTAATTAACCAATGGCAAAGGGTTGCTATGGATCATTGATATAAGAGTAATGTTTGAGAGACTAAATTTGTAGCTAAATTAGCAAATCAAATGATGTGTCACCAATAAAAAAAAAAAGATCACGTTTATCAACGATTAAGTATTAATCCAATTACCAACTTTCACGTCATTTAGTGACACGCCCCTGTCCCGATGTCTGGGGGACATCAGGATTGCCACTTGCTGGCCGACACCCGAGGGTGACGCAAGCCATTTAATGAATGCATATGCTGAGAACATGAGAAACATGCATGTAAATTTCGCGCGAACTACACAATGTAATATAATAATATTCAACTGTCAACAATGATAATGATAGTAATAATGCATGACATGTTTAGAGCATACATCTAATTCAAAATACACGCTGAAGGTGCTATTACAATGATGTCAAAGCATAAGGGATGGCACGATGTCACTGGTAGGAGAATGCCTCGTAGCTCAGATCGTAAGCCTCGTTTCTATGTCCTGAGGGGGCGCAAAACAAATATGAGTGGACCAAGTTGATATATAAGTAGTACAAATATAGCTATTCAATAACGTACAAACCCCCAAAATTTATGAAAACTAATAGCATAATATGTAATAGGTTTCCAAAAACCCTAGCATGCCATAAAACCTTTCAATAAACATATATCAAATAGTGTGCTAAATAGTGGTGTCATATATAAATATCTTCCGGCCAAAGCCAATATAAATATCTCCAGGCCAAAGCCAATATAAGTATCTCCCGGTCGTAGCCATCTACCAACGCTTGGCCGAAGCCAATATAAGTATCATCGCCTATAGGCAGAACAATGACCAGTAGAAAAGCACAAAAACATTGAATATAATCTTTCCAACATAAGTACATATATCTCAAAGCATCTTTATAGTATATAGTCATCCATCCTATATACTACAAAGAGTGTAAAAACATGTTCATAAATAGTATATAGTCATCCATCATATATACTACAAAGAACATAAATTCGATAAAGTATGGTATTCCAAAATATTCTCAGTAAAGCATGATAATCATAAATTGTAAATCTAATTTACTCATAAAACGTTTCGTAAAACGTAACCATTAAATCATGTTTTTCATGTATGCGTTTCTACTATTAAAGCATGCATTTTAGAAGGGGTCCACTCACAGATACTTCGTCGTCGAAGAGCCATGCGAAATAGGAGGGACGAAATCGTCACTAATAATTGCACCTAGGCACATAAAGGGTCTATTTAATAAAACTCTATCATAACAATTGAATTTCAAAAAATGAACGTTATAAACAGATCCAGGACGTCAAAAAACATAAGGGGGGACCTTGGGTACCCCCACACGCCGTCGCATATGCCCTTATGCGCCACCGCAAGTTGGTGGCTCCAACGGCCACGCACCGAGAAAAGTCGTCGATGCTGTCGTGGATAGTGGCAAGTGTGCTCCACGCGTCGGCACCGACAGCTCTTCACGCGGGCCTACGTGCAGGCTCATGCACGGCCCACGCATGGCCTGGGTTCTTGGGATCTGACTGGGTTGGGCCGGATCCTGGTATGGGTCTAGGTTTGGGGTTAGGTTAAACAGGCCGAATGACCTAGTTGCCACGGCCCAAGGGCCTAGGTACAAAGGGTTTGGGCCTTGGGGTTTTGGACTTGTAACCGGCCCAAGGGATTAGATTTGGGTTGGTTTAGAGGGTCGAAAGCCCTTGGTTTAGTCAAAGGGCTTTAGGTTTGAAAGCCCGACCCACGTCTTTGGGTTAGAAGACCCGGTTTGCAGGGGTTTAGGTTTTAGGCTTAGAGGGTTGGGCTGGCCTCTCGGGCCGGTTCAATGGCCCAACAAGTTGGGTCGGACAATGGTGGTGGGTTGGATGCGACTCGTTTTCAGGCAGGCTTTCGACAAGAAAAAGACTGGAGTTTCCCTAGTTCTGATCGATGCCAAATTGTAACCTTAGGGTACAATCTAAGTACCAAATTGAAGTGCAAGACGAGAGGGAGGGTTTCGTACCTGTCTCAAGCCATGAGGTGGCCGAAATCAGTCGAATTTCACCTCGAAAGCCATGTGCTCGCCGGACCTGGGTTCTTGGGTTGTTTATGCTTCACAGAAGCGAGGGAGAGAGAGAGGGGAAGGTCCAACACGGTGGGTGGTGTCGTCGTTCTTCTCAGTTTGGGTGTGGGTGAGTGTGTGTTTGTCGTTGGGAAGAGGAGAAGGATCCGAGAGAGAGAGACTGTGAGCTGAGAGTGAAAGAGTGTCTTGGGGGGGGGGAAGAAGAGAGAAGAAGAGAAAGGGAGATAGGAAGCTGCCATGTGGCAGGCAGAGAGGAGGAGAAATTAGAGAAAATCTAAAAAGGGGATCCATATTGGGTAAATGATAGGGGTAAAAATGGTCATTTCAAACTCCGTTAAAATGATAAAATGCATAAAAGTACTTTCGTAATTCCACTAATATAAAAAATGTACATATTTTGGGATGGGGTTTCACATTTAGTTTATAAATTTAGTTTTCCTAGTATTACTCTTAATATAAGATAACAAAATGGTGTGCTACAAATAAGCGTTCATGTTTGATTGGTGTCCCAAGAATCTCCAATAAATACAAGAGAGTATGGTGAAGTTATATGTCATGTCACATTAAATGACAATAAAATCAACATACACAACAAACAAAACAAACTATCCTGAAACGAACACATTCACGAGCGGCATTTTCTCCCCATTTTTGTCGACTCCATGAAATAATATCAGCACCTTTATTCAAACAGTATTAAGTTTCGAATTCAGTATTTCATAGAAATCTAAGAGGGAAATGGAATATTTAACCAGTTTAATTAAATAATATTGTCCCAACTTTTATGATCACGTTCGTTCTCAACAAATTTTATAATATAATAATCACAATTTTATAATACTGTGCGAAGCCTAATTGCATTTTTCTAATCACCTGCATAATTGTAAGCATGAGAAGTGTGTCGGCATAAGGGATGTTGAATTAGACACTGAACTTTGTAACAACAAATTCACAATTTTAATTAACAGAAGTAATAAGCAAAAATGAATTTTCAATTTTATGGTATAGACGCTTATGACCTCTCCCTTTACATCATGCGGTAAGGATTCTTTTGGCATTACAATATTTACCACAACGACATTGTCCATGAATTAAGTTATTTCATAGATTGGCTTTCTGACAATCTATGGTTGTATTACGTGTGCTTAAGGTAGAATTTTATATAAATGTTTGGTCATGCCAATAAGTTTTTTTTTTTTTTTTCTCATTTTAACAGTTGACACCATAGTTTGTGCAAAAACAAAAGTGTGGAATTACCCATGCAAGTAATTTGCTTCAACCAAATACGATTGTTAGGCCATCTCCAACTGAAAGGGTCCAGAGGGCTAGAGGGCCGAAAAACGTCTCCAACCAAGGGCTAGGCCAGAGGGCTCGTGGGCCCCACGTAATCTGAAAGGGCCAAAGGGCTGGCCAGAAATGTGAGCATTCCTGTCG